AGGGGTATGACACTACAGAAATCTTCAGCATCCTTTTGACTATTTCTGGCATCCACCAGTCCCAGCACAGGAAATACCTCCTTCCCCCTTCTTGACTTTTCAAATCTCCGCCATAGCTCCTTTATCTGTTTCTTCCCTTAAACATTGAACCCGGCACAGTCTCTCCCTCTTTCCTTTCACGATAGGTGTCCTGTTTTCCTAATACTTTGTTCTGTTGGCTATCCCTAGTTCCCAGCGCCCATAAATTTCTTCAGCCTCCACAATCTCGTTTTAGGTGCCGCCTCCTGCTTCTCCAGTGCAGTGATTCATCTACATCACATTATTGAAATACATAGTCAGGGCTGGGTCTTAGCCTTCTTTCAGATAAGATGTTAACCTAAAAAGCTGGAAGAAAAATCCCCACACCCAAATGTATTGGACTCCATGATGTTTTTCCATATAATTTTCATTGTTGGTGTTTAAGTTTGGTTTATGCACAGTAAATTGAAGCTGTGAAATTTGTTCCCCTTCTAACCAGTTTGATTTTCAACCTGGTAAGGTTGCTTTACATGAACATGAGCCTCAAACAACAGAGGCATACAAAATATAGTTTGATGGGGGCATTATCCTTGTATACTATTGTGAATTAAGCAAAGAGTCAGTAATGGGGCATCTATGGGCCATTAACTTTCAAGACCATGATACATATGTGTATGATCCAGAGCCCAATTTTGTTTATCATTGTAGGTCAACACTGACACCTAAATCCACCTTGGATTCCTATTGATGTAGTCGTCTTGAAAATTATGATAAACTTTTACATAGGTTAATTTAGTTTGCAAAAGAGAAAGTGTTTTTTGTTCAGTGATTTATTTCAGTTTTTCAAAGGCTGTATCAGGTTTCGTCTATGGAACTGAGGTTAATTTCCACATAAATTGAAAACAATGTAAATCTAATTAGCATGCTGCTTGGGCACCAGATATTTCGTTTTAAAGATCATGGTGGTTTTAAAGATGGAAAAACTTGCACAGCCTTTCTAACACGAATCAGGATGCTGTTTTGGTCTTTCTGACCAGCTTGAATTTTATGAAAGAGGCACAAGGCAAATACCAACACATCAAAAACCTGTTGAGCTGAAACTTGGCATACATGAGCTGCCTAGTGGGGTCTACTACAAATGTGACAAATATCAAACTGATCCAGTAAAAAATGCCATATCTCGATCATGCTAGAAAGTGCTGAATATTGGCACTTTGACCCTTTTTATACCACTTCTTAAGCAAGTCGTGTATTTCCTTCCGATTTCAGTGAAAGCTATTGGTGTAGGCTTGTTGAGGATGGCAGTCATTCATTGGTTTGGTGAAATTCTGAGCAGCAGTTGGAAAGTTATTAAGGTGTTCCTGCTCTATTAAAGTATGGCAGCACCTACTGAAGAAATAATGCAGGGGTGTACAGATTCATTTTTGAAGTGAGCATTTTGCCAGGACTACAGTGTTTGCATAGGGAACAGATACTGGATGCCATGTGCAATGCCTATTCCTTTAGTTATGGAATATGATAGTATAGTACAGTGGTTAAATGAGAATTTGCCAAGCTTTTTGGGTGTGTGGACATATTTGTAAACTTGAGAAATTTTCTCAGTGGACAAGACCACACAATGGCATATGTGCCGCCCCCTTACTGTAACCCCTCACCAAAGAGCCCCCCCCCCCGCTTTTGTTTGCTCTGTTTCCCAAACCATTGGGAAGACTCTAACAAAGCAATACAGGACAACAAGGGTTTTTTTTGCTGGTCCCAGACATTTCACCAACACTGTCTGGATTTGAGCCTGAGAGTGGATGTATTGAGGGTAAGTTGCAAGTAAGCACAATTTGTGACGTTGCACAACTTCATTACTGATCATGGGGCATGTCAGCCTTAGCATCCAATTTCCTGGCTTGGTGGAGCGTGAACCAATATAAAAGAGCGTCAACCAGCATGTTTTTTTTAATCATTGGATGCATATAGGGTTGAAATATTTTTTTGCTGCATTCTCTTGGCACTTTTCTGTTCTAATACAGAGCAGCAAATGATCTGAATTGATTGTGGCCACTGCAGGTGGCTTTTTGTTTAGCTAACCGCCTGCCTATTGCTTCAGTGTAAACACTGACCATGGTTAGCTGTTTGAAGGAGGTAAAAAGCTGCCCCATGGTTAACTTTGAAAAGAAAAGGAAGAAAGATGGGTGAACCCCTGGCATACTCTGGATCTCCTAACCATGGATAGGCAATTTGGGAATGTTACATCTCCCTTGCGCATCTCGGAAGTGTCAGGACACAAAACAGAAACTGACCAGGTTTTGGCTATGAAGAAAAAACTTCAGCCTTTAAACCTGACCGATCCAGCTCCTGAAAGTGTCATAGTAGTGCATGGTGAGCTTGTAGCTGAGCCAAGGGTACCCTTTGCTGTTTAGCACCCACAGAGAGCCTGCCATGAGAGCTCTCAACGGGTCATATCTAAAGCCTGTTAGAGACAATCTCCTGTCTTATCCTGGTGCAGGTGCTCATGTTGCCCTCAAGTTGGAGGTTCAAACCTCTCTGGGTCTCAAATATTGTTTAGCGTTGACTTAGTAATATTGTGGCTTACTCTTTAATAGTTTTATGTTTATAGAACATGTGTTGCAATAACTGTTTTTTGTAACTTTGGGGAGGACATACGTTAAATAGATTGTTTTACTTTTCTTTAATTGCAAAACATACTGGTTAAGGAATAGGTGCTTATTTATATCTAGAACTCACTATATCTAGAAAATTAATTGCTAGAAAGGCAGACTTCTGTGATCAGTCACTACTGAATTACATGAAAGATTTGTAGAAATGAATAGCCCATAAATTATAATGTCAGTGTTAAGCCCCTGAAATGCTGTGCACATTTCACAATGGTGCATGTGGGAATTGCATTTGTGGTTTGAGGATATTATTAGGCCTGGGTTTTTTTAATGTTAGATCTTTATTTAAACTACAGTGAACAAAGAACTGAATAAAACATATCTCTGTCTTTTGGAGCTATATTGTGATATATAGATCGTAAGAAAGAGAATCAACAATCTATAAATCAAAAATTAGAGAACAATCTCAGAGCTTCCATTCAAGTCTCTGCGGTATTCAGGAATATTCTAAAGAGTGTGGTTTGATAAAGTGCAGCCTGAGTAAGACTGTGTGCAGAAGTGTGCTGTATTTCTTGGGTGTGTAAGTAGGGTTGATGGTATTGATAGTGATGCAAGTGAAACTCTTGGATCCAGCTCGGCACCTTGGTAGGGTGATGGTAGGGTTGATAGTGATGCAAGTGAAACTCTTGGATCCAGCTCGGCACCTTGGAGGGTCTTGTAGTAGTGATGGCCAGCAATGCTTTTTACCAGCATTTTATAATCCAACTGCACCCTTTAAAAAAAAAAAAAAACAGACCTGGCCTCTGTCATTCATATTCTAGTCACCTCCAGATTATGCTACTCTAATGCATTGCACATAGAACAGTCTTCTGAATAATAATAATAATAATTTATTATTTGTACCCCGCCCATCTGGCTGGGTTTCCCCAGCCACTCTGGGCGGCTTCCATAGAAACCAAAAAACACTAAAATATCATACATTAAAAACTTCCCTGAACAGGGCTGCCTTAAGATGTCTTCTGAATGTCAGGTAGTTGTTTATCGTTTTGACATCTGATGGGAGGGCGTTCCACAGGGCGGGCGCCACTACCGAAAAGGCCCTCTGCCTGGTTCCCTGTAGCTTTGCTTCTCGCAATGAGGTAACCGCCAGAAGGCCCTCGGCGCTGGACCTCAGCGTCCGGGCAGAACGATGGGGGTGGAGACGCTCCTTCAGGTATACTGGGCCGAGGCCATTTAGGGCTTTAAAGGTCAACACCAGCACTTTGAATTGTGCTCGGAAACGTACTGGGAGCCAATGTAGGTCTTTCAAGGCCGGTGTTATGTGGTCTCGGCGGCCGCCCCCAGTCACCAGTCTAGCTGCCGCATTCTGAAGACAATCCAAGAGCAACAATTGGTTCCAAAAGTGGCAGCCAGAGATCAAAATGGAACCAGTTGGTCAGATTATTTTACAACCATTTTGTACCAGCTTCACTGGTTGCCAGTTTGTTTCTGGGCTTAGTTCAAGGTGTAGTTTTTGAACTTTAAAGCCCTAAATGGCCTGGGACCTGGAAAATTGCCTTCCTTCATTTGAGTCTGCTTGACAACTTTGCTTCTCTTATGTGGCCCTGCCTTGGACCCACCTGCCACCTGAAATACGGCAGATGGGTACCCAAGACAGGGCCTTTTGAGCTGTGGCACCCAGGGTTTGGAACCATCTCCCAAAAGGAGGTCTGCCTGGCCCCATCAGCACTCAGTTTTATTCCATTGAATTTTTCTGCAGAGCTATCTTCGTAGGCTGTTGCTGTGCTCACTTTAGTTTTGAATTGTTTTAACTATTGATGTTTTTGTGATTATGCTTGTGCATTTTTATTTCTGTTATGAACCACTATGAATATGTTATGGGAAGATGGTATACAATTTTTAAAATAATCAATAACTGGTGACAGTTGCTTGATAGTGTTATCTTAAAGATGACTCAAGGGATTCTTCCCTGTTTCCTCTGACAAAAACTACTTGCTTTAGATCTTTACATCGTAAATATCATATTCCCATGAAATATAAACATATAAATCTACTTTGAAATTGCATTTTAAATAGCTGTAGCTATGAGCCAGCATTATGTTACATCTACATCAGCTCTTAGTGGTTACTTACTTACTCTTTTTGGTTGTCAAAACACAATGTCAGTTTTGTGAAATATTTAAAAAATGTTCCATTATGAAAATAAGCCAGTCTGTTACTGAATTCCATTTTCAATTCATAAACTTTTTTTAAAAGTTGCCTATGTACAATACAATTTGATAGAGTCACTTCTGAATCGGCAGTCTTGTTTTATACAACCCTTTTTAGAAATTGACATAAACATGCAAATCTTATTTTCTTCTTCTTCTTCCCCAGTTTGTTTTCATTGTTGTCAAAAAAGCACAACAAGGTTTTGGAGCAAGCCACACAATCCTTGAGAAGTTCCCTTGCTTCAGATGACTCTCCGCTTCCGGATTATGTGAGTACCAAACTTAGTGATTAAGGGAACAGGTCAAAATAGCATCTCCTAACCCAGCAGAAGTCTATCAAAGTGTGTGACAACCTGGCAACCATCAACACCAAAGTATAGGAAGCTCTGCTGGTGACATCATGTCTGAAACTCACTGAGAAAATTAAAAAAAATGCACTTGCAAATGGCAAAATAAAAACCACATCTATTCGTAGCTAAGACATTTACTTTAGTCTGACAGCTTGCAATTCTTGAACATTTGAGTTTGATTGCCATTATGAGGGAGGGGGTGGGGGGCAGGATTTGGGTTGGCTGCCTTTTAGCCCGCATCCATCCACACATAGCAAAAGCAATTTGGAGTAACCTCTTACACAGGAAGATTTTATCGGTTGAGAACATTGTCAGATAATACCCATATTCTGTTTGCCATTCACTTTCTCTGGGTATGCCAAATGTTTGTTGTACAGACCTGCCATTACCAGAATGCTAATGAGAGCTGGAATATTGAGTTAAGAATTTAAATTATAATCTGTGGAGTCTCCAATTCAAATCTCAGTTCAGCCATAAACTCACAGAGGAGTCCTATGTAAGCCACATTAGTATTAACCCTTTCTTGAAATATGGGTTTGTATATAAGATAACATAGTTGAAGTACTACCGGTATATATTTTTAATTTTTAAAATATACATAATTTTTAAAGTATGTACTTCACTTTTTAGACCTTTAAGATCAGTGAGATCACCTGGGGAATTTTTACTCACAACACCAAACCCTACAGAGGAGGGCAGTGTCTCAAAACCCAGTGCCTAGGGTTTCCCTGACATATAAAATATAAAACTAGATCCTGCTTTGAATGTTTGAATTGTCTGAATTTTTGTTTTATATGCTTTTATGTTGTTTTTAAAATATTGCTGCTTCTTTGGCAATAGGTTGTGTTTTCGTTTGAATTATATATTTGTTTTTTAGACTGTAGACCACTTAGAATTTTTAAGAATATTATTCGGTTTATGGAAGTGTTTAAATTAAATAGATAATAAATAGATGCTCAAAGTGGGGTATGTAAAAGCAGTTATAAAGCAACAGCGATAAGCCAGAGTCAATTAACATAAAGTAGTCCGATCAACTGTATGAAATAGATTATACTATTACTGTGTATTTGTTCACATACATATGCATGTAATTGCTTTTCATTTATTGTCCTTCAACAATGTTTAATTTGAATTATTGATGTCAGTTGCCAGGGGTAGGCGAGAAATGGGAGGAAAGCACAGGGCTTCTGCTAACAGGACTCAAAAGGTGAATCCAGCTCTAGGTTTCCCAAGTTCTAGTCAACATTCTAACCAAGGCTTTCTCAAATTTAGGTCCCTAAATGTTGGACTACAGCTCCCATCATCCATAGCTACCAGGACCAGTAGTCAAGGATGATGGGAGTTGTAGTCCAACAACACCTGGGGACCCAAGTTTGAGAAAGGCTGCAACCACTACACCACACTGTCTGTCAGTGGATTGAGAGAGCTCTGAGGTCCTTTTGGCCAAAAAGCAGTATATAAATAAGCCATAACATAACCACTAGCATAACTACAGAATTCCTTTTGCCATGTTGTGATCTTTTAGTATAAGCATTACTACTGAGAGGTTGGTCCATCTGAGCACAGTGGCACTTCCTCCTTAGGCTACAGTCCTATGCAGGCTGCTCTGGAAATAGCTCTCATTGACGGGTCTTCTGTTTTTATTTACAGTCGTACCTTGGAAGTCGAACGGAATCTGTTCCGGAAGTCCATTCAACTTCCAAAACGTTTGGAATCCAAAGTGTGGCTTCTGATTGGCTGCAGGAAGCTCCTGCAACCAATCAGAAGCCGCGGAAGCCCCATTGGACGTTCCCCAAAGAACGTTCGCAAACCAGAACAATCACTTCCATGTTTGCGGCGTTCAGGAGCCAAAACGTCTGAGTACCAAGGCGTTCGGGATCCAAAGTACAACTGTATTTTTTAAAGGTGTATACTACGTTTTCTTTTGGAAAAACTCAAAGGGACTGAGAGCAAAATCAGTTAAAAACAGTAAATTTTAAAACAACACAGCAGCAAATATAATCAAATAAAAAGGCAAAGCCCCTTCAAAACACAATGTCAGTGGAATATCTCTTTAAGAGGGTTGGGTTAGCCCTCTCCTAATACCAGAAGACGCAAGCAACAAAACTGAGTCACACATAGGATTGGATTGTTAGGGTAGGAAAAACTTTAAAAGTTCATGAAGATTTGGTGTCCTATTGCTGATTTTTTTGGAAGTTTTAAAAAATAGTTATACAATATACATGCTTTCCGATTGTATAATAATAATTTTGTTTTCCGTTATTAAGTTTAGCTTGTCGAGTTGTAATTAAGTTATTGAATTCACATAACAAGATTATTTTTTTTAAAGGAAAGCCCCTGCTGAATTTCAGTTCCTATATATTCCCTGCTTTAAAAGCTGGGCATGGCCCATGATCCCCATACCTTCATAGATACCACAAGTGTACACTCCTTGTCTTTTGCCCCACTAAAGAGGTTCCACAACTAGCAAAATGAGCTAGGTCTCACTTAGATCATATGACTGCCCAATAATGAACATCACATGACCATAACATGAGGCTTCTTCTAGGGGTGCAGAGGTATGTACTCTTATATCTGAAAATCCAAAGCTTTATCATGAAGTTTCACCCCAATAAAATAGGTTTCAGTATTAACTGAGGTGCGAGAAATTTATCCACCTCTCAAACCAAAGTGGACATGTTAAAATGGTGAACAAAGTTAAACAATATCTCTTAGAGTCCACGGTTAATTTCCTTCCTGCCAGAGAACTGATTTTTTTTCTTATATACTGTGCAAATCTGATTGGCAGGCCCAGAACTCTTGATGTAATTCAGTATCCTCCCCTTGATTAATAATCTAAATAACCCTGTTATGTAGTTGCTGGGTGAGATGCTTCTCTCTTTCCCTTTCTTTCTCAGCTAATGCTCCATAAAGGAGTCAAGGAAGGCCCCAGTTTTGATCTTATATTTGTCTGTGGTAAATAGAAAGCAGCTGCCAGTTTAAGCATCTAACTCTTGAAAAACTGTACCCCCCCAACATCATCTGGAAATAATATAGCTAGTAAAACAAAGCTAAGAAGAAAAAGAAATGTTTGTTTTATGTGGGATGAATGGCTTCAGTTGGGGTCCTTCTAATTTGGCCATTAGGTCGGTTATTAAAAAGTAGTATTACAAAGGTGGTTTCAACAAAAAGATTGTTTTGGTTCTATCTTGTTATTACATTTGATTATAGCCAAAGCAGTAAGTACTATATAAATAGCCCTTCATTTCATTCCTCCTGCAAATAAGCAAAAAACCAGTAATCTTACTGTCTTTATGCATTGGTAGATGCTAAATTACTCCCTTACATTATTTTAGTTCCTTAAAGCAACTTGTGTTTTAGAAGTCATATTTAATTTCCGCTTACATGGTTTGACATGTGCGGTGTGTTTCTGAATGATAGCATAAAAGTTAGCCATCTTTTAAGCAAACTAACAATACTATAAAAGCATGGATTTTGGGAATGAATGCTCTCCTTTTTGAGTTTACAGTTTTCAGTATGCTTAGGTTCTAGACCACATGATACAAACTCTGGTCTGGATTTACCAAGTCCACAGTCCAAGGAACACCTACCAGAGAGTAAGCCCTCTTGATCCCAGTGGAACATTTGAGTAAAGATGTATGGAATCAGGCTGTAACAGTGGTTTACTTCAGGGTGGAATGGGATTGGTTTGGTGGAAATTCCTAAACATCACAATTTCAAGAGAACATTTTAACAGAATGTAGGCAGTTCTTTTGAGAGCTCAGGTGCCAAGGGTGTGTAAGGGCCTGTTTTATACCGAGTCTTCACAACTTGTGATCCATCAGGAGAATCTCTGACCATTATTCATATATGGTGGCTTACTAGCAGGACGATAATTTTCCAGTATTTGTTGCCTGCTAAGGACTTCAAGACGCAGGACGCGGGTGGCGCTGTGGGTAAAACCTCAGCGCCTAGGACTTGCCGATCGTCAGGTCGGCAGTTCGAATCCCCGCGGCGGGGTGTGCTCCCGTTGCTCGGTCCCAGCGCCTGCCAACCTAGCAGTTCGAAAGCACCCCCGGGTGCAAGTAGATAAATAGGGACCGCTTACTAGAGGGAAGGTAAACGGCGTTTCCATGTGCTGCGCTGGCTCGCCAGATGCAGCTTGTCACACTGGCCACGTGACCCGGAAGTGTCTCCGGACAGCGCTGGCCCCTGGCCTCTTAAGTGAGATGGGCGCACAACCTTAGAGTCGGATACGACTGGTGTGTACGGGCAGGGGTACCTTTACCTTAAGGACTTCAAGAATGGGTGGTGGAGGGGGTTGTCAAACAAACAGCCGTCCATAGTACATAGTCAGATAATCCATTTGGCTTGGCCGATGTGCAGACCTGCCTTGTACTGTTTTAGACCAATGGTCCATCTAGCCAAATATTGTTAACCATAACTGAGAGGCTATTCCTTAAATCTTTTCCATGGAGTTGATGGGGGGGTGGTTTAGGAACTTCAGAACATGTGCTCTACCACTTAGCTGTGGTGAAACCCTTCCTCAAAGTCAAGGAGAAGGCTTGGGCAAAATTTCCTGTTTCCTGTATAGGAGAATTTCTACACCCTACTTTATGCCCCTTTCCAGGACTCCTGAATCTTTGTCCCCTTTGCTGTTTTTGTTTTAAAATCCACTTTTCGAGAAGAAAAAGCATGCTATATATTTATGCTAAATGAGCTGTGCATTGTTAAACAGGTCTGCACAGAATTTAACAATTTGCATAATATAACCTGAATAAAATTGAGTCTCTCATTGCGCAGGAATTGCACATCCCTGATAGGTAGTGTGCATAAAAATGACTGCAAAGTTTGTCTCCGTATCAGTGTATTTCCCTTTCCCTTTTCATGTCTAAATGTGTGTTAACACATATCTCTTGTATAATGTCTATAGAGGGGTT